GTGTATGTGGTAGGGAGGGGGCTGCACTCTGATAAAGTTGTGTTCTGCATTCATTTTAAAATTCTGAGGTTACAGAAGTGTCATCTGAGGAGAAGGATGTCGCACTGTCAGCATAATTCCTGGAGCACATAAAGGAAGATGTAGCATTGACTTAATAGGAAGGATCCTACCTGATTAAGTGTGGGTGGAGATAATTCCCCCTCTAGAGCACCTGGTACCTGGTGCTGCACTTGGAGGGGGAAAAATGAACAAATAACCCCCCAAAAAACTTGCACTGATTGCATATTTTAACTTTCCATTTGGTCTGGGAGAGAGACATCTTGCAATAATTTTATTTGAAGTCCAGGAGTTGGGACACTATCCTTTTTTTCCAGTGGTGTTGTCTGCTATACAGCATATTTATCCATTTCTGCTAGCTGATTAAGAATGTATTTATTGATAGTGATCTGTGAAATGGCACTGTGTCTTTAACAACTGGAGAAAACAGCGCTGACCTCCCGGTGGCTTCATTCAGATGATCACATTACGAAAGCTGGATTCTTCCCCTAGTGCAGTACGTTTAGTATGTGCTTGGCTTTGAAACCGATGGCAATAAATTAAATGATAACCTGTTGCTTTAGAGTAGTGCTTGGAACAGGGAGGCGCTGAGGTGGTTTGATGATCTCCTGCTTTGATGGAACTCTGGCAAAGGCGTAGCGCTCTGACAGTGAAAAAACAACTCCAAGACTGCAGCAGGTAATGGTGATGAATTTTAATAGGAATCTTTGTCTCTGAATAAAAGTTTTATGTAAGATGAAGTAACTACTAGTGCTCCTTCTGGAGGCAGACATTAACATGCTGCTACTTTTAGCTACCAAAGCCTCCTTCACGTTTTCATGGTGTCTTAGCGATGAACTGACTTCAGTGTTCTCTTCTGGATTTTGTATGTGTTGGTTTAGTTGCATTTGTAAAACTTCATATGCAATGATTGACTTGTCCAACTCTTGCTGTATGTGATTTGCACTGTCACTTGGCTGTGGTGCTTTTGTAGGGTGAGAGTCCAGTAACAGTCATGGTCATGGGTCAGCAATAGAATTTTTTCAGTAGTTTTGAGTTCAAAACTAAACTATTGAAGTCCTGCCTCCTGGAAATAGTAAAAGTAGATACAGTTATGTTCTGAATGGTTAGTCTGATAATGGATTTGTTGGGTTAATACCTTTCACAAGGAGTCTTTAGAGTAATTCACTTCACAGTTAGATCTTGCTTGAATTTTTCAGGACCAGTTCTCTGAGAACTTTGTTGCTCTCATTGTCTTGCACGTCACTGCAAGGAAGGAAGATTTTACCTTTAGAGCATAGAACATTTCAGTGATTTTGCTGGTGGCTGTATTCTAGATGGAGAAACCTGATGTGCTGAGATTCACGAGACGGATACTTTTCCATCTGTGAGATCCTTTGGAATCTTCCGATAAGCGTTCGAGCAAGGACCCCAACAATCATTTCTACTTTCAAGCAGGGAAATGCCTATATTTTAAGTGAATGGCAAGTTTATTGAGATGAGTAACCAGAAAACCCCCACTTTAAACAGGCACACATTAGACTGACATAGATGTGATAAATGCTATCACAGCAAATCTTTTTGTTACTACACAGCATCAGCATGACTGAGTGTTTTGTTTCATCACACTAGCATTTTGTCTGCTCCAAGTCATGTGCTCAAGCATCTCTGTGTTGTCTTCGAACCCAGAAGACCTCTTCTGCTTGAGGAAAAAAAAATAAAATAGTTGTTTTCTTCAAAACAGCAAGAAAAGCCATGTTGCATCCTGTTTCTGTGTGTCTCATTTCTTTATTTTTCCAAATAAGCAGCCTTACCTTCCTCTGTAATCCCTAAAATGACAGCAAGTTCCTTCTCCAAACTTGTAAATGAAGATGAAGATCATTTGTTGCTGTGGCTTAATGGACCAGAATTTTCACAGGAAACTGAAATTTTCTGTGAAGGCCATATTTTCTAGCAGAGAGCTGGGTTCTGTTTTGGTATTAAGTCCATATGCAGGCTTTATAGTCTGCAGTGCTTGCTAAGCTCATCTGAAAATCTGGCCCTATATATCAAAAGGACATTTAATATATAAATTTATAAAATATTGTGTCTAGGAGCTTAATATACTTTTATTTCAGATCTTTAAGTGAATTCAACAAAACTGTTGCTGCAAAGTTATTTGGATGTTCCTTCAAATTCTGTTGCCTGCTCTGACTTGTCTTGTCCTCTAAGGAAAGAGAGATCCAGAGAGATGTTGAGCTCTCGTTCATGTGGTCCTGACTTCTCTAAAGCAGTGAGACACAATAACAGATCTGTCTCTGCAAAAGTCACATCCAGTAAAACTGCCTCATTAATTTAGGATGTTTTGTAAGCCATATTTTCCGGGCAATGATGCTTTTGATATAAGCACAGTGTAAAAGCAGGTAAAACGCCCTATAAAAAAGTTTATTTTTAATGAGTTTGTGTGCACAATAAAGTTGTTCTGCTTCTAATATAAAGAAATGTTTGAAGGATACTATCTTGGTAAGTGGCCCCAAATATACCGGGGATATATTTCTGCTAGTTTTGTAGGGTTTTATAAAATGAAAAATAATCTGTACTTCCTAAAAATACCAATGTTTAACATACTGCTCAGTAAAAAAATACTGATCTTATGTATTTGTCAAATGTGCGTAGAAAATTTGCTGCTGCTCAAGCCTGCTACAAGGGCAAACCACCTGAGTTACATCATCTCAAAACAGTAACCTCCCAGGGTGAAACACAGACTTTCCACCCAGCATTCATTGTTCTGGAGTTTATTGTAGGAAGGCAAGGGGTGCTTGACTTTGCTCCACTTCTTATCTTGTGTTCATAGTGTAAGAAGAACTAGTTCAGCTGTGTTCTAGAAAAGACACACATTACTTTGACTTTGGGCTGGGATTTGTTTGCTTTCCTGGGCACACTTGCAGAGGAAAAAAAAATAATCCAGTGATTAATTTGCTTTCTGTTTTACATTTCTAAAATTAGATTTCAAAATTGTGTCTCTTAATGCTTCATCTTTAGAACAGAGTCTATAAATCAGATTAACTTCGATGTTCCTATATGCCATGCTTATCTAGCAGGGAAATTTCTCATTGTAGATGCTCTAGGATGTTTGTATGATTGTATTCCTGTATGGAATATAATGGTTATATGGTTGGACTGCTATGAAGCATGGTATGAGGACAGAAATAAGAGTATATTTCTCCTTGTAGGGTAGCTTGAAAGTGAGGTATCTGCACCAGAGTTAAATTATTCTTCTACTAAGGTAGAGACACGGTATTGTAAGTACAGTAGAACAAGTACATTTAAATTTTCTGTATAAGAGTGTTCTGGTTTTGAGCAGCATTGCCAAATTCCGTTTGCCCTGGGTGAGTGTTTTGTGGAATTTGCTCACAAGTGTTCTTAGTAATCTCATGTCTGGACTGCTGAAATGTCAAAATAACAGACTGAACAGAACTCACCTTTCCATCAAAGCTCTCATTCTGTTTCCTCTCTTTAACTCTTCTGAGCATTATGGCTTCCTAAGTTAACATAGCAATTGCATCCTGTCTAACTTTTGAACTGATAAATGAAGTAGGGGTGCATCATCACTTAAACTTTTGGAGTGATCGTGTAGTAAGGAAGAGCTGTGAATATTTATATTATTTTTATTTGCTTTGATTAAACCTTACAGACAGTCAAACCAAGGTTGTTACCCTGCCTGGAAATGCAGGCTCTCTAATGAACGAGCTGAGGGTTTCATCCTATTTAATTCTGTCTTTCTGCTGAGCCTGGGGGTTATTTGTTGTTGCTTCTTGAAGAGTCAACCTTGTATCTTCTCAACTGACCAGCACCTTCTGGGCATTCAGACAATGTCTTCGTGCAGCACGTTTTGAAAGTTGATATTTTATGAAAGTAGACGTTTTATGGAGTGATGAATAGAAATAGTTTTCTTGATTGTTGGTGAAATCTAATTTATTTTTTTTTTTAATGGGAAGTGATTTAGGCTCTAAAGAAGCAGATTCTGTTCCTGAAATTTTTTGTCCTGGCAGCACTGTATTCCCTGGGAACATTGTGTTAAATTTGGCTGAGCCAAATGAAAAATAAATATATATTTGCTGTTTAAATATTTACTTTTGCAGCAACTTATGGTTGCAGTTGGAAGTGGGAAAGTTGTATTATTGGAATGAAGCGTTTTCTTAGGATCTGAAGTTATTAAAAAAGAATCTTCCTGGGAAACTAAACTTCTGTCTGTAACCCCAAATTTAGCTATTGCTTAAAGTTTAGTATTTCTATTTTGTATTGCTTAATGATGTTAAACCTAAGTTTCTAATAGATGTGCCCTTAAAAAAAAATAAAAAAAGTAAGCTTAAAACCTTTGGGCTGTTTCTTTTCCCCAATTAAGCTAAAAAAGACTTGTGTTTCCAGTGGCCGGGTTTTAATGCATGTTTGTTTGGCTGGGCTTTCTTATTTAAATATCACAAAAAAATTATAAGCTTCTGAATGGAGTATTAGTTATACAGTTATGTGAAAATCAGTAAGTAAAATGTTTAGACAAACTCCTTAGGAAATTGCAACACAATCCTTGACAATGTGGAACTAAAAATAGTGTGGAGAGATGCGCTGTGATTCATGAGATCTCTGATCATAAATGCTGAGTCATTAAGCCACTCCTGGAGGTAGTGAAACTTAACTCGCAGGGATTTGGACAGAACCTCAAAGATGGGGAACCTGGGTATCATCTGTTTGTGTTTATGGCATTGTTTTATCTGGAATAAAATACTGTTCACTTAAATCAGAGTTCCAATAATGTCTGTCTCATGGGGATGACTGGACAAGTCAGACCCTTCTGGCTAATGTATACAGGTGCAAAAGTGTAGTGGATTTAATCTCTACTTAACCTCAATGCTTTACTGCTCTTCCTCTTGCAACACTGCTGGGTAAGCTCAAACAGCTTAATAATCATCTCTTCTTTCTCTGTACAGGACAAATTTGGAAGCACTTCAGAAGAAGCTGGAAGAACTAGAGTTGGATGAACAGCAACGAAAGCGCCTTGAAGCTTTCCTGACCCAGAAACAAAAAGTTGGAGAGCTGAAGGATGATGACTTTGAGAAGATCAGTGAGCTGGGAGCAGGGAATGGTGGTGTGGTCTTCAAAGTATCTCACAAGCCGTCTGGTCTCATAATGGCCAGAAAGGTGAGTGCCTCAAAAATCAGAACTTTGGGATGATTTTTATAAAGGAGATTGTTTCTGATGAAATACAGTGACTCCAGAGAAATAAGTGGTAGTGACACACACACACACACATAAAAAAATACTTTAATGCCAACTTTTAGAGAAGTTGACTAAAGGAGATTGTTTCTGATGAAATACAGTGGCTCTAGAGAAATAAGTGGTAGACACACACACACACACACACACACACACAAAAATACTTTAATGCCAACTTTCAGAGAAGTTGATGTCATAAAAGTAGGAAAGGTTACATGTACTAATCCTAAACTTCCCAGTTTTCCAGAAAGTGTCCCATGTGTTTGTAACGATATAATAGGCATTCATTCCCCCACCCTTTTTTTTTTTTTTCCCCATACCCTCCCCCCCCCCCTTTTTTTTTTTTTTTTCTATACTTTTCTCTTACCTGGGTATATTTGCTTCTGTGCAAAAAGGCACTACTTCTGGCTAGAGTATTTTTCGATTATTCAGCTTTATGCTTTACAACCAACAGCATTTGGAACCTAGTTTGTAAGAGAACTGAGATTATTTCTTTTTAACCGAAATAGCTTGATGTTTTAATTTTCACTTTATGTGAAGAAGAATTATTATTTTAGAAGAATACACTGTCATCTTTGGCAAAATGAAAGGAAAAGGTGCATGTACTGGTTTGAAGAATAAGCCATGCTCAGTGCTCTGACAGTTTGGAGACAGCAAAGAAAAGTACCCGCTTCTGAGGTGTGAGAATTGTGAAATAAACAAATCACTGAGGTTTTCTTGAACTAAATCAATTTAATTGATTTTTTTTTTTCCACCTACTGTGGGTTTAACAGGAAATTTTGCCTGAATTCATTAATATTTGATGCAACTGAGATGTTTGCTGAACTGCAATTTTTCTTTCATATATTGACTCAAATTTCATTTCCATAATGTCTCCTAATCTTCCCTTTCACAAGAGAAATACACTTCTTGTATTGTATGAGATAAATAGTCTAGCGGAACAAAGTATTTTATATAATCTCTCTTTTAGATTTAGAGTCAGTTTGGGGAGTTTTTAATTTGAGGTTCAGCTCGTTCCTTCCACTAATGCTTTACAAACACCTGTGCAGGTGTTTTTCAGCAGCTGCTTCTGAGTCAGTATGTCTTTGACACATTTCCTTTAGATTTTTGTTCATGGCTTTTTTTCAGCATAAAGAGCTTCAGTTTCTGAACTATCTGTTTAAAAAAAAAAAAAACAAAAAACAAAAAAAACCAGCCAAACAGATAAGTGAAGAAAATGTGCTGGAACAAAAAGTTTGATAGAGAAGTATTTTGTGAAGAGAAGAGCTGGAAATCCCACCTTTTCATGGGTGTTGATGTTCCAACTTTCTCAAGCTCTATTGTAGTGTTTTCCTTTCTCTTTGCCACTAAGAAAATAAGGATGGATTATTTTACAGTTGAGTCATAGAATAATTCTGGTTGGAAGGGGCCTTAGGAGCTGAGTCAGCTGCAAGATCAGAGCAGGCTGCTGAGGGCAGGACCCAGTTAGGTACTGAAAACCTCTCTGAGCAACCTGCTCCTTCTGAATGGCACTTGGTCACTAAGAAAATAGTAAGAGTGGATTATTTTACAGTTGATTCATCTAGAGATCAAGCCAGCTATTCGAAACCAGATCATTCGTGAGCTGCAAGTTCTACATGAGTGCAACTCTCCATACATAGTGGGCTTTTATGGAGCTTTTTACAGCGATGGAGAAATCAGCATTTGCATGGAACATATGGTAAGTACTTATAAATCTGTCTTAGCTGGAAGTTATTAACAGACCTTTAATGCAAAACCGGAGTGTCAACAGGGCTTAAGTTAACGAAGTAGACCTTTCTGCACGAATAAGGAACAAAATACTGTGTTTCAGATGCACTCTGCAAATCTGAGGTTGGGATTGATACAATCTGTTTCATCCCCTTCTCCAGTAGCCCCTCTTCTGTTGCAGTCGAAGCTGTACAAATGTAGCCTCCCAGTTGCTTCTCTGTTATCTGTGATCCTTTTTGGTTTCTTCTATTTAAAAATGTTTACCCAATTCTGCTACTTAGACACTTGTTCTGGTTTGGGTTTGGTTTTGTGCAGAATGGATCAGATCAATCTGCTGCTGCAGCTGTGTAGTCCTTAGTAGCTCTGACAATAAGAATCTAATTTATTCTTATTTAGAGGAATCCGTATTTTGACTCCTTTTTTCAAATTTTACAGAAAATGCAAACGTAAAGAACAGTGCACAGGAAATAAACAAACTCAGAAGGATTTTATACAACCTTTTAAATGCCAAAAAATATTTTTAGCTGTGATTCATTTTAATAAAAAAATACACATTCTTCTTGATGTGTTTGTCGTTCTCTAACCATATGGAGCCAAACACTAAAAGTAAATTTTCTGTAATTAAAGGTCAGTCAAATTTTTTGCCTCACTGAGTAGAGGATGTTTTTAACAGTATGGAATACAATAAATCTGAAGACCTTTTATTTTTTTTTTTCCCTGAGAAAAAATGTTTCTTTGGAGAGAAACCTTATTTTTTCTGGAAAGTACATGTGATTGTTTTAATGCTTCTCTGGTCTTCTCTTACGGAAATTTTTAGCAGAAATCGATGGTTGCCTAGGAACAAGTGATCATGATCCAGTTTTTAAGCGTGTGGTAGCCGAATAGAAGGTGTGCATATCCCAAACCACAAATGACTGTTGGGAATTACCAAGAAGTTAGTTTCTCAAAATTGAAAAGAATAATGAAAAGCAGGAAGATAAATGCCAAAAATGACTGGGCGTTGTTTCAGAAGACGTTATTAAATGTCACAAATCTGCACATCTGCAATTGCTAAAAGAGTGTGTTTGTTAACGCATGCCAAAAGAGAGATGGTGGTGGTATATAATTACAGGTAGGAATAAAAGGCCTAAAGAAACTCAATTAATTTGTCAATGAGAAAGATAGATGAGGTACCAAAATTGACAGCAGGGAACTCTTAAATTGAAGAGAAGTCAGTGTGAAATCTGGTGTTTCGGTGCTGAAACTGATCTAAGTCAGACTGGATACAAGATTTTACACAGAGAACAATTGATCGATAAGATACGAAATAGAAAGAGAAGGTGGATTATTTAAAGTGTAGTCTTAACCCATCAAGCTGTTGGCCTAATGCAGATCATTACGTTTTTGGTTGTCTTTTGGGTAAAAGATAAGATGAAAATCTGAAAATCTCCATTGTCTTTTTTTGTACAATTGCTGCCAATCAAAATTCTTATTTTTAGCAGTGAGTTACAAAACATAAGTATGAAAATGAACAGAAAGTTGGAGGTGGAAAAGGCAAGGAACTTGAAGATCTGAGTGTTTGATATTTTTAGGTACATAAATTCAAAATCAATGCATAACTTTGCTTAGCAGCAGGTAGTTAACAGGCAGAAGGATTGAAGTTTGCTCCCGAAAGGCGCTGGAGGTTCAGCCGACACCAGGCGATCGACTTGTGTTCAGCCTCTTCCAGGCACAGAGCTAGTCCTCAGGGAGGGGGGAAAAAAGCCCAGGTGTTGTTCTGTATGAAATCTTTGTTAATATACTGATATTTCAGCAGAGACAGCTCTCCAGAAATGCAGACTGGTTACACAATATATTTATATAGACTTTTTTTTTTCCTGTTACTGTATTTTTAATCAAGCTTGGTATATGTGGGTGTGGGTTTTTTTTTTTTTTTTACAAAAATGCATGATCAAATACGTATTTATATACTTCTCATAAGAGTTTTAGATTTTAGTCCTTAAATAATAGAACTTTGCATTCTAGCTTTTCTGTTGACATGTATAAATGGTGATGAAAACTTCCAAAGGATAGGTTAAGGCAGAAGGCAATTCTTTTGTCAAGGTGGATTTTTGTCTTGAGTGCTGGGAGGTACCAAACGCTGATCTGGACGACAGGATATTGGTTTTTTAGTTTGAGAAGTAGCTTTCGCATTTCTTCTTAGACTGTAAATTCTCTGTTCTAGAGAATCTAGAACTTATGTACAAGCCTATTGTTGAATCAGTTGCTAAAAATAAATAGCATTTTTTTTACAGTTTTCCTTCTCAGAAGCTCTTAGCAACAGTGGAATATATTTCACTTTGGGGGAGTGTGTGCATACATTCGATTTATTTAACCTAAGGAGATAGCAAGGCTGCTACTTACCATGAAACTTTGAAAACATTTCTTCCTGTTTTGATTCTGAGAGCTCTGCTGTATGAACCCTCCATCCTCAGAAGTTGACAGTGTCACCCCAGATATGCAGAACTAAGAGAGGCCAACTTAATCTGTGTGGGATCTCATCTAGGGAGAGAGGGGAACAGGGATCTGGGTTTAATTACAATCCTGGGGTGGCACTACTGCACGTTATAGTCAGGAAGAGAATTCTATCTTTTCCACTGTGATGAACTTTCATCCTTGTAATCTTGAGCATATAAACTTCTGTGCTGCTTCAATGCTCCTCATGTTGTCTTTGGAGTGGGAGAGAGCATCATGTGATGGCTGTAACAAAGTAAAAACATGTTATTACACTGGTCTGAAAGTTACAGAAATCTGTAAAAGCCCTAATGTTTGGTCAACAGCTCTTTGTGGACAGTACTTCCTTAACAGGAGCAAAACCATGAAAATAATAGTATGGAAGATCATTGTGTGAAGCGTTTATTTGAGTGGATGTTGTTACTGGCCAAATGTTTGTTTAAAATAAACGTAAAAATGACTAATTCCTAAAGAGGAACGATTGATTATTTTTTTTTTTCAGATATACACCACAACAATGTTAAATCAAACATGAAAAGCGGCAGTTTTTTCCTCACCAAATCTAGCCTTCAGACTACAGTCCTGTTTAAAATGTTTCAGAGTAATTTGATTAAAGCTTGACTAATCAAACATTTATTATTATTAGGATGGTGGCTCCTTGGATCAAGTACTGAAAAAGGCTGGAAGAATTCCAGAGCAGATCCTGGGCAAAGTTAGCATTGCGGTGAGTGTGCCCATCCCTCTCCAAGGCTGGAAGTGGGTACATTTGTGTCCCAGTGCAGTAATGCTGGATCTGGGAAGCTGCTGCTTCAGCTCTGAAGGGTGTGGGAGAGAGAAACCTTAGCTGGTTTTTAAGTGCAGTGCTTTATTTTAAAAAGCAGTCTTTGTACATATGATTTGGTACCTCAGGGTGTTGTCATGAGTAACGCGTTCTATTGTGCTTACTTTGATTTTCCTGCTTTTGTATCAGCTGATTCTTCTGGATAAGAACAGAATTAACATTTCATTAAGAAGGTAACATTCAAAGTTTTTAATATCTATTGTGCAACAAACTGTGTATGCAAAACTTCCAATAAGGGTTCACTTGGTTCTGTTTTTCTACTGTGAGTTGAAGGCAGAAATTAAAACAAAATATGGATTTGCAGTGATTACACTTCAGGGTTTTTGTTGTCACATTCAGTTGGAATTCTTGTACAGGCAAAGCATACAATTATCTTTTCTGTTTCATAAATTGAATTTTTTTTTTTTACTTTAGGTAATAAAAGGACTCACATATCTGAGAGAAAAGCATAAAATAATGCACAGAGGTGAGAGAAAATTTTACACTGTAACTTTCCTTGAATATAATTTTTATTCAAGTTAAAATACGTACATTTTTTATGATTGGTGCTGTGTGGTTCAATATGACTTTAGTTCAGAGAGGCTTTTTTGGGTAGTGTAAGGCAGACTAAATCTCTTACTATGGTTGTCACTTATCTCAGGTTCTGCTACAACAAAATCTTTGGAGAGATTCAGAATCAAAACCTCTGACCTAAAATTAATTTGACAATTCAGTGTTCGTTATCGCCATTAAAAATTTTAAAGGAAAGCCACTGTTTGTACCAGCTGTCTTAGATTCAGATGATATTTATAGACATACAGAATTGCACCTTTCCTGTACTTTAGGGTTTTTAAAAACACAGTGGAGCTATATAAAAGGTGTGTCACTTCTACACTCCCAGGGTCTTTAGTTACTTTAAAGCAGGGCATTTATTTTACATTATTTTCAGCTTATAGTTGTCCTTTTAAAAAATCCAGCTCTTTCACTAATCTGTTGCTTGTTCCATTAAACAAAAATGACACTTGATATGGTGAAGTAATAAATTCCAGTATTCCTGATGTGAGTGTACGCTGAAGACTAGAGAGGGAGCATTTCCTGGTTTTTGTTTGGAAGGCACTACTCATTCCAGCATGTATAAACCATACCAGCTGTTTGGTGAGTTTGGTTCCATTTGAGATCAATCCTCAGGTCATAAAAATACCTTCATCAGATGTTAGTATGTGTCTGAGTTTGTATTTGTTGACCAGACCAAAAAAAGGAATTAGCAATCCTAGTCTCTACACTCTGTTGTAGGATCACCTTACATGTGAAGTAGACTCTGTTTATGACATGTTGCTGTTTTGGTTTGTTTTTAAACAATCAAACACAGCTCTCTTCTGGAGAATGGAGGTTGGAGGTAGGCTCTGAAGATTTCTGAAGGTAGTTGCAAAGTCATTTGTCTCCCTTAAGAGCATAAGGGACTAAGTTGCATGCAGAACAGTTTAAGAAGACCTCATTTTCTTGGGCTATGCAACCTCATCAAAATACTGTTTTTAAGATAAGAGATTGAGTAATCTCTTTGAGTAGAGAGTGGGGAAGGTCTCTATGTTGGTGTAGTTGATGGCATTTGAGGATGGTCAGTGTATCTGAGATTTCAGCATTATTGGGGGACAGTAAAACAAAGGCCTTAACGTCACCGTAGGGCAAAAAAATCACAGGATGTTTTGCAGGGTAAAGATTCTGACAGATGTTCATTTTTCTGGAATGGTGGGCAGAAGCCAGCCTGCAGCATTCTGAACAAAAGAAAAGAATAAAAAATAAATCAGCAAAACTTGTCAGTGCCGCATTTGCTTGGGTTGGTCAAAAAGTAATGCCAGCTATGAAAAACTGCAAAAAAACCCAAGCAGAGTATGGTGGCTGCTCCATATGAGGTTCAGCTTTAACTGCTTCCATGCACAAGATCTGTCCTGGACTAACTGTGACCTCTGGGGAAAAGTATTCGCTTGTCATTACAGACAGCTCAAGGAAGAAGTCCTTAGGGCTTATTAAGGAAGGAATGGAAAATACAGTCTTTTTATAGAGCGTTAGCTCATCTGGACCCACCACGCTTTGCTTTGGTCCTCTCTGAAAAGACACGATGGAAATTGGACAGACAATCCGGTGGGATACAAAGCAGGCACAGAAGAGGAATTTACCTTTGTGGTTAATGCCAGAAGGCACTAAATGACAAGGAAAGAAGCGTCCTGTAACTAATTGGAAAGTATATTGCTGCAGATTATGAAGACACACAAACTTTTTTTTTTGCTATGTTTTAGCTCTGGATGAATAAAAATCCTGTAAGTTAATCGGAACACAACTTCAGGGTTTTTTGAGCACAGTTTGGAGTGTAATTCTCTCTGGAAAGCCTTGCCTGATGATTTTGTTATAATGTCTGGGGCCATGTTTTTTTCCAGAATGAACTAGGTTTGTGCCTGTCGGAGAGCAGGGCTCAGGCAGAGGAGACAAAGCTCTTACAGAGACTGCGAGACATCCTGTAAATCCTCGAAACTTCTTCGTATTAATCAGCTCCCTTTTCAGTGTCATATACTCATCCCTCTGCCTTCTCTAGAATTGCACAGCCCTGTTTCTGGGTTGTCTGGGATGATACATGAAATGTCCTTTCATTTTCTTTAAAATTTAAATACTTACGTAGCACACTCGGTCTTCCTTTCTAGATTTATCCATTTCTTGCAAGCTCCTGCATATATTTTGAAGGATGCCTTGGCATTCCTGCTCCATTTGGCAATACAGATCTGTGGTTTCCAGAGAAACTGCTTAAGTGCTCAGACACTCTGGAGTTAAAATAGCATAGAGTGCTCTGTTCCAAGGGGTGGGAAGGCAGCAGCATTCCAAACACCACACTGTGATTGCACGGGGCACCTTGCAAGGAAGATGAAAATGCAGAGGGGAAAGGTGAGGTTTATATAAAATTTCAGGGAGGAGTCATGATTTGCAGTGCTATTGTAAGGCAGATACAGCGTGGGATTATCAGCTAGAGAAACACTGATGGTAAGAGTTAAGTCTTCAAAAGACCAGGTGGATTCTGGAGCATGTAAGATGCTTATAAAGGGAATGTCACTTGGTTCACTGACAGAGGAATGCTAATGTTGGTTTTTTGCCATTTAATTATGAACATGAAGTATTAATGAGCTGCAGAGATAAGCCAGGATTTATGTCTTTGTTCTGAATTGAACTAGATGGTGTTCATAGATAAGCAGGACAAATCTAAAGGCCTTTATCTATAATTTGTTCCGGCTCTGTGGTGCTTCCAGCAAATATTTTGCAAATATTGTTTTTTCCACCTTGCTTTTCCATATGAGTTCAGGGGAAGGTTCCTGTGGAGCTGGGAGTCTCTAGTCTTTGGTGCCTGTTCCACTGCACCAACAGCACCTTGGTTTGCTGGGTGGTTGCTTGGTTTTATTCCTGCTGGAATTTTAAACTGATAGGTCAAGCTGGACTGGATTCTTCCTTTTCATTGTGAAGTGTGCTTATGGTGAGGTCTCCACTGAAGTTAAAACTTGCACAAAGGAGGTAGAACTTGCAGAAGGTTCAGAAGGCCTCTAAAATCTCTCTGCATTGAAGCCCTGCTCCGAATTAACCGGTGTGTGATGTTCTGTTTCCTGCCTGGTAAACAGCTCCACAAACTGCCCAGTACCTTTGCTGCTCTTACAGGAGGAAAATCTATTGACTAGAGCAATGTTTATAAGCCAGTTACTTTCCTAGGAACGGGGAATTCAAAGTAGTACACAAAATACATGCCTGTATTCTTCCCCCCCATAAGGAGGAAGACCATACCTGGCAGAAGCAGCTGAGATTTTCTTTGTGTTAGAAAGAAAGTGTTCATAAATTATCACAAACACCATTTCCAGTGTGCCTGGACAGTTTCAGTTATCTAGAAAGGTGATGTCAGGAAAACACAACCACAAATTCTGAAAGTAGATAACTTTATTCAAGCTTTCTTTTGTTCTTTAAAACGGGGCTGGGGGGAGAAACAGCTTAAATACAGTTTTGTCTTCGTTTCCAATCTCCATGGAGCTTGTTCAGTGAGGCATAACCTTCTGCATGGAGAGCTTTTTCCAGTGATGAGGAGTCACATTAGTATCATCTTCCCAGTGACATCCTGTTCACATCACAAACAAAGGTCAGTTCCTCAGTCACTGAAATGAAAGCTACATGGAATATTTTTGTGTTAAAAAGTGAAAAGGAAATGAAAATAAGCTACAAACTATAGACTTCTGGAGCCACTCTTGAATAGCAGAATCTAAAGTGAAATTCTGATAGGCTGAGTGTAATCTCTTTCTTTAAAACTAATTTATAGTACCCTTTTTTTTCCTGTAGCGTTACTTTGCAGATGGGAGCTGTTGATTACTTATCTCAGTACTGCCGTGGTAATGACTAACTAAGCAGCAAAATATATTAAAAAAAAAAAAAAACTTCTTACAGCTGTAAAGGAAATACTAAACAACTGTTCTCTGTACTTTTGCATTCACAAATAGCTGTTATTAGTTGCTTAGCTACCAGTGACCCTTATTAAATTTCTGTTTAGAAAAAGTGATGAATTAAAAATCATGAAGGGGTTCTATCGCAGGTAAACAATCTCAAAGTATTTTAAATGCAGCATTTCAATAATAGGATAATGGTTTTTTTTTTCCAGAACTTTAAATAAACAACAACAAACAAACAAAAACAAGACTACCCACCCTCTCACCCTCCTGCCTTGTCCCCCCTCCCCCCAAAAAAACCCAACCAAAAAACCCCAAATAAAACCAGAACAGCAAGAACACACTCCAGGAACTGGTTTGCTATGGGATGATTTGTGTTACGTATGAAGGCTAAGTTAGGGCTAATGGTGTGGCTACTGTAGTTCACTGATCTTTGTAAAATTAATACATAGGGCCTCTTTCTTGACTATTCCTAGGCAAAAAGAGCACCATTAAAGAGGAGTTACGCTGACATTCACTTTAAGATTTAGTAATTGTAAAGCCAAACTTAATATTCAAAAGCCAAGAAACAGGGTGAAATCAAAACAAAGCTGACAGCCTTTGGGTACTTGTAGCTTTAAAAATTTCTCTTTGTTTATCTGTATTTAAAGAGAGAGCCTGTGAAATGGGGCTGAGTAGGGAACCAGATCTGATCTCTGAGTATTCCCAGAGAAGGTGTAGAAGTGTGTTGAAGTTAGAAGGGAGACAAAGGGGGACACGTGGTGACTCTCACCTCTTGTGTTACTTTCACTGTCATATTCCCCTTTTTGTCTATTATAAATATAAATCTTCCATTCTTTTTTTTTTCCCAGATGTTAAACCGTCTAACATTTTGGTAAACTCCAGAGGTGAAATCAAGCTGTGTGATTTTGGTGTCAGTGGACAACTGATAGATTCTATGGCAAACTCATTTGTTGGCACACGCTCCTACATGTCTGTAAGTACAGGTTTTATAGCTCTGAGTTTAATGTACATTATGGTAGAGTTATCCTGATTCCAGTAATCCAACAAGAAACCAACTATTGCTGTTATTGCTGCTGTTCATAGTTCAGCACTTCCTGCATTCCAGGAATATTCCAGTATTGTATCAGATTGTGGAGAGGGGAGGAAAGAATTGTTGCAAGAAAAGCCAAGCAACGTGGAATGGTTTACGACAACTGAGATGCGATTGTCTACATTGCAGAATCCAATCGGTTAATGTATTTGGGTTTTGTATACACCAAAAAAGACCAATATTTATAGTTTGCCTTCCTTATTAAGTGTGGTTCTTTTTCCACTCCAGCGTTTTGCTGTGGGCACTTATGTAGGGAAGCTCTCCAGGATCCCAGTGCAGCTGCAGCAGCCAGAGAAAGCATGGGGGTGGCCAGTGGCTAGCGTGGCCAAGGCCATGGAGGCTCATTTAACACATTTACATATTCCTGTGTATGCGGAATACCTTGAAACCTGCTCTTCAGAGAAATTCTTTGCACTTTGTGAAAGTCCCAGAAAATGGAAATAACAGGTCTCTTGTTCTACTCTACTCACCTTGTTCAATACATGCCCAATTAACTCATGCAATCAGAGCGTTTAGAGATTCTGTTGTAGGATTGAAACTGTGTGGGCTTAAACTTAAAGGAAAAAAGCATAATAATGCTGCTTCTGCTCAGCATGGGACCTGCATTTCAACATCAAAGACAGTGTTATCTTGTTTTTGATATTGGTAACATACTTGAAATAAAACTGTGGCTTGTGTTCCCACGTACATCTAGAGGCTGTTGCTAATTAGCAAAAACATTTTGCAGCTCCACCTCTTCTGGGCCCTTGACATACTCCTGGCTTGCCCTTCTTCTAGTAGGAGGGATGAGAGCAAAGTGCTGTTTTCCTTCAGGTTTTTTCAGTTTATTGTTTATCCAGACAGAGGTTTAGCTTTGCTCTCTGTCATCAGGTCAAACCAAGCAATAATCATTATTTTATTTATTCTTTTTGGTAGTGTCTGAAATACCCTTTCTTGCAGTATCTGCCTTAGCATAATTTTTAAAGTAACAGCTATAGAGTTGTTACATCCCAAATGACATCCTGTTCTACCAAATGAAGGTCTGTACAGTCAACAGTAATTAACCAAATGACATCCTGTTCTACCAAATGAAGGTTTGTACAGTCAACAGTAATTGAGTATATTTTCTAGACTTTATTCTTTTTGTATAACTAGTACCATGTGTGTTTCCTGCTTTTTCTCATCCACTCACTTCTTCCTTTACACTTACATTTTATGATAATTTTTTGCTTATCTTTGTTTTGGGGCAGCTTTATCCATTGTCCAGGAATTATGTGGTTTATCCAGATGGCTGTGGAACTAGCTGAGGTGGGACACTGGAGAAATTGTGATGCTCTCAGTAAATGTTACAAAGCTAATTTAACAAAACTGTCACCCATTATGGGAGAGGGAAGACACCTTAGAGTAATACCGTGTTCTTACATTCTGTGAGAAAGTTTCAAATCATATATATTCAAAAAATAGGCATATAGTCAGGCAAGAATCTGCACCATTTTGGTAAAGTATGAGCTTGATTTTAAAAAGAGACCAGAAAAGCAAAGTGAAAGTTTTCTTTGAGAAAGCTTAGTAAAAATAGATCCAAGGATGATGTAGATCAATGTATTAAAAATTGCAGAAATCATATTCAGCTTGTACTATTCATATCATAGTACTGATAAAGCAAGTGCAAAAACTAAGCAAAAGGAGTTGGTTAAGAACTAATCTTCTGTTGTAGTTCTTTAGGTACTTTTAAAAAGAGACCAGAAAAGCAAAGTGAAGGTTTTCTTTGAGAAAGCTTAGTAAAAATGGATCCAAGGATGATATAAATCAATGTATTAAAAAACAGATGCTGCTCAGAACTGAGGATCTTTGGAGCAATGTGACTGGAATATCCAGAGATGGTTATAATCATGATTGAACAAAAAAACCCCATACCTAAATATCTTCAAACACAGAGCTCAACTGTTGATTGAGAAATGAATTGAGTATGGATCTAGAACAGCAGTGTGAATGTATAGAATAGCCCCTGTGTAAATGCATTTCTGCTGTAGGAAGTTCTCAGAATGGTATCAGCTGAGAAGTGTCACAAACCAGAAGGTTATTGCTAGAGCCCTGGGTCACTTTTGGACCCAGAGAGGGTCAGTGAAGTTACCTCCTTCTCGTTCCCAAAGCAGGAAACCAAGAACAGCTTTTTGGGGAAACCAGGTGAATCTGCAGCTGCCTGTACTAGTTTTGCTTTCTTGTACTTTAATTGTTCCCTCATCATTAATAGTTGCAACATTTAGATATTATGGTAAAGAAATAAAATGGCAACATAATAGTGTCATTTTTTAAAAGTTCCAAAATTATTTGCAGCAGTTGTATGCAATGGTTGTGGAAGTTCTGGAACCCCAGATGAGATATTTAAAGAAAAAGATCAGTAAGTCACTCATTGGAAGATGTCATACTTGGGGTTTCATCCTTAATTTTTTCCAGGAAATTGCAAAATGCAATTATTTATTTCTTTCTTGTTACAATACTGTATTTCCCCCCCTCTTTTCTTTTTTTTTGGTAGCCGGAAAGACTACAGGGAACTCATTATTCGGTGCAATCAGATATATGGAGTATGGGGTTGTCACTGGTAGAAATGGCCATTGGCAGATACCCCATCCCACCTCCTGACTCCAAGGAGCTTGAATTAATGTTTGGCTGCCCAGTAGAGGGAGATTCTCCAGTCACCGAGACCTCACCCAGGCAAAGAACACCTGGTCGACCAGTGAGCTGTAAGTTCCAATGATCTCTTCAATTCTTTTCCAGCACACTTCTCTGTAGGCTTAAAGGTCTTCCTTACCTCCTACTGATCTGCATGGTGTGGCTTTAAACTTTCCAAAAAATCAGGATTTTATTGGGCACCTGGCTCAGTCTCGCTGTGAGCACGAATCTGAGTTTGAGAATCAAGGACCAGAGATGCTTTTGTGGGTAACTGAGCTGTTCACAAACACCATTAAGATCCCGTTCTGTTGCTACGGTTCATGCCCCTAAGATGTGATGCTCAAAGTACAGTGGGAAGATTCCCAGTGAAGTTCATGGTTTGGATCAGACTTGAAAATGATATCTCCTTGCATTAAAGTGTTACCCTGTTACTGTTCCACTTTTTCTGTAAATTACTGGGTGCCAGCAAGTCTACTGTGTAAGAAGAGAGTATGTGACTGTTAGCTTCTTAAAATCCCTCCAATAAGGGAGGAGAGTAACACTGTCTTTTTCCACTTCTCCAATTTCTTTTTAGCCTATGGACCAGACAGCAGACCCCCAATGGCAATCTTTGAACTTCTCGATTACATCGTCAATGAGGTAATGGGTTATTTGCACTTGTACTAATACAACTGTAAACTTCTAAAGCATTCCAGAGTGGGAAGGGGTGTGGAGTTACTGTGAGGATAAGCCATGTCTTTGGTCTCCTGTTGCTGCAGTATAAGAGAGACATCCTTGTTATGTGTTTTGGCTTGATTCTAAATTATTCCCAGGAGAATTTGAGTTCATTTTTTTGCATTCTTTAAGTAGGTTTATGGGTTTTCCAGCCTGGATCATGCATTCTGTTAGGACAGTTAACAGCAGCCAGCACGATCAAGCATATACAAAATTGGGTTTGTTTCTTTGTTTTAGTCTTACAAACAACCTCATTTATAATACTGTATCTTTCAAATTGCTAAGCTACAATGCTAATTAATAGAGATTGGTATTTTACAATTGGTAGAGTGTTTCCAATATTTTCACAAGTGCTACTCAAACTCCCATGACTCCACTGCTTGTGTCCTTCCAAAATAAAAAAGCATGTTCATGCTGGGTGTCGTTTATGGCAGCTGGAAAATGTAATTGTTCCAGGTGAATGAATTGCAGGTCTATTTAGTACTACTTCTTTATTTATCAGAATTCTTTTTGAATTCAGAACCCAAACAAGCTCATTCCCTGGGACAGAATATTTAGATCAAAAGGATTATGGAGCTAAGGATGTGCAGGGCATCTTCCCTTCTCCAAACTGGAGATTAGTAGTAAGGAGAATAATGCTGTGGTAATTACTGCCAGCTGCTCTGAGCCTTCTTAATGACAGCTCAAGGCTGTGTTAACCCCAGTCAGGTGTGTGTATAGAGAGGAAAAAATACAACACACCCAACAAAAAACCACCCCACACCATAGAAACTGTCTCTGATCTGATTTATTACTGAAACACCTAAAATCCAGCAGCTGTGAGTAATTACCCAAATTAGTCAGTAATAAACCCAGTGTCTTTACTTTTATAAATCATGTGACAGCATTTCCTTTATTTGTACACGTGGAAGCTGAAGTCTGCCTGACATTTGCTTCAGAGCCCAGCTTTGGAGGAAGGGCTGGGGAGTGCTTGGGGTTTTCAGCTTTCCCAGACACAGGACTTGTGGTGGTAGCTCTCTGGCAGGTGGTGCCTCATCGTGCACTAGTGATGCTGAATGACTGCTAATTATTTTTTTCTTTTCTTGTTTTTTTTTTTTTTTTTTTTTTTTCCCCTCAGCCACCGCTTCCCACTCCCAGAGACTTCGCGCCGCAAAGGCAAGCGAGCACGCAGGAGTGAAGGGGTGATCCTGCTCGTGTGTGCTCTCACTGCATGGATAACTTGGCAGTCGGGGTCCAGACATGCAGCTCATGGGAAATGTGGAGTAATTTCCATTAGCAGAATCCTCTTTCTCCAACTGCTCACGTGCCTAAAGCTGACTTTACAGGCACCAAAGAGAACCCCAAAGCTGAGAGAGATTCACCTTTTTAAGATACAGTCTCTGTTTCTGTGTGCAACTTGGATTAGTGCTTTTGCAGCACTGAAGATGCCATAGTACTGAGGGATTCTGATCGTAAAACACTCTTCTAAAGGAAGGCCCTTACTTTGATGGGTAACCTTCACAGCATCCTGCAGTGCCTGCTCCACGAGATCCATGACTCTTGCAGGCTCCAGATGCTTTTTCCTTTCTTGGTGCTTCACTGAACTAATACCTTTATCACAGCAGTCATTGTCCCATCTATTTACTCCTCCAATTCCACTTCAGAAATACCTGCACTGAACCAGTATATTCAGTGGGAAGGGAGGCAATTCATTACAGTTTGAAAAGTTAGTTTATTTATTAAAAGCTATGTATATATATCTGCTGTCTCCAAAAGGAAGAACAGCAACGCAATAGCTGTCCTTGATGCTGAGCTTGAATGGAGTTGGGTAAAAGGAACTTGAGGGATAAAGCAGGTGGTATTGTTGAGTTTTCATTTAAATGGGAATTTGATCTCTCCAGCTTGGCTACAGACACTCACTCCCGCCCCCACTGAACAGTGTCAGACAATTCAGGATTTCACACCTAAAACTGTACCCCCAGAAGGGAATTGCTCACAGCCCCAGCTCTGTGTTTGAGAGGCACGAGGTGACCCAAGGCTTTTATCTGGAGTGCTGCCTTCAGACCAAAGCAGTACCTACGTGATAAAACTTGGTCTTTCTTTTAAAAGATACCAATGTGTAACTTTTGCAATGCTTTCTGTTTTCCAGTTTAATTAAAAATCCTGCTGAGAGAGCCGATTTGAAGCAGCTGATGGTAAGTGAAAGTTCTTAACTTGAACTAAGAGCACTCTTCTGGGTGGATTGGGTTCCTCAACTGAGATCAGGTCTGAGATGGAGCATATGGCCTGGAGTGCAGTTTGTGGCCCCGGGTACAAGCAGCTCAAACAGTTTGAGTGGGGGCTGCTTTTCTGATCTAGAGATTGAGGGGCTGCAGGCTTTTGCTCACTTTTAGAACAGGGACTGGCAAGGAGACCAAAATCTAGTGGGTTTTGGAGTCAGCCACTTGGTAATTACAATAAGTATATGACCTAATGCGGTTAAATTAATTAGCAAAATTCTTTCTTGGATTTATCAGTCAATAATAAAGTATATAGACAGACACTTATTACAAAAAGCCTTTCTGTGCACAAGCAGACTTTTTGCAGAGTATTATCTGGAGTGGCTGAGTCACATCCTTCTC